TATGTATATAAAGTCCCCACCATCACGGCCTGTCTCTCTCTGTCTCTCTCTTGTCCCAGATTGAGATGGACTTTCATAACCGCCCCCTCACCCACCCACAGTAAATCTCTTGTGTGGTGTGATTTGATCCACCAAGGTACTCTTCCTCGGAAACCCACACCCCATTTATTTATTTATTTGGTTTTTTCGAGACAGGGTTTCTCTGTATTTTTGGAACCTGTCCTGGAACTAGCTCTTGTAGACCAGGGTGGTCTCAAACTCACAGAGATCTGCCTGCCTCTGCCTCCCGAGCGCTGGGATTAAAGGCATGCGCCACCACAGCCTGGCTCTTTTATTTTTTTTTTTTTAACAATTGATTTATTGGGCTGGAGAGATGGCTCAGTGGTTAAGAGCACTGGCTGCTCTTCCAGAGGTCCTGAGTTCAATTTCCAGCAACTATATGGTGGCTCACAACCATCTGTAATGAGATCTGGTGCCCTCTTCCGGCGTGTGGGCATACATGGAGGCAGAATGTTGTATACATAATAAATAAATAAATCTTTAAAAAAACCAATTGATTTATTTGTACTTTATGAGCATTGGTTTTTTGCCTGCATGCGTGTCTATATGAGAGTGTCGGATTCCCTGGGACAAGAATGACGGACAGTTGTGAACTGCCTTGTGGGTGCTGGGTCTTCTGGAAGAGCAGTCTGCCATTTTAACCGCTGAGCCATGTCTTCAGCCTCCAGGGTCAAACCTCTTTTAAACCCAGCAGTTGGAGACGGAGACAGGAGGGTCCCTGTGAATTCAAAGCCAGCCTCCTCTATATAGCAAGTTCCAGGCCAGCCAGGGATGTTACACAGAGAAACCCCAAATCCAAAACAAAACAGTCCTGGATGGACAGACTGGAGGCACAGGTTTGACTGACGAACTTGAGCATTTGGCAAACGCCTCTTGTTATTGGGACCAGTGTCACAGTGTGGCTCTGCCCAGCTTGCCAAAGGCCAGACACCCACAGCAGCTGAAGGAAGGACATTCTGGAAGCCCCTGAAGGGGAGGGGGAGGCTGGGAGAGAGGGAAACCTGACAGGGAACTGGGAGGCTGTGCTCTTCCTGCGGGAACATTCACTCTGGGACACTCTGGGCAGGAGTGTACGGTCACTGTCTTCAGGTCCCCTTGGTCACTGTCCTCAAGTCCTCTTGCTAAGGACGAGGGGGGCACTGGTTGCTGAAGGTAGGTAGGTGGTTTAGACAACCCAGTGAGAGCTAGACCTTGAGTCTGAGAAGTTCAGGAAAAGGGTGTGGCCCTGGGAGGAGGACGTGTTGTCAGGTAGCTCTTTGCTCTGAGGTCGTGGAGGGGCCCAGCCTCATTTCTATATGCAAATTCCTCTGCCGGGATGGGGACGGACATTTGGCCAGCTGCGCCGCGCACACACAGCACCATTTGGGGACAGTTTCTTAGCTTTGTTCCTCAGCACTGACCCGAGACAAGCCTCTTCATTTCACTCAGGACCGAGTTTACTGGGTGCCTGTGCCCAGGGCTGCACAGCCATGCCACACAGAGGGTACATGTCCATAGGGAGAAAAGAATTCTCTTTATTTGTGAATACACTGTTGCTTGTTCACTTTTCTGACTGGGTATTTCAATAACTGCAAGTTTTTTACTATTACAAATTGTGCTAATGAGACATCCTTGTGGGTGTCGCTTGAGGCCCTTCTTGTGGGCGCTGGTGGCATTCAAGGATACCTGGTTTCTGAGGTGATATAGTTCCTGCTCCTGGTAGCATCAGCATCGGGCTGGAACTGGTCCCCATCTGAGTCTGTCCATGTGGTGGGCTTCAGGATGAGAGGCCAGGGCTATAGTTTGCAGAGTAAGAAAAGCTGGATCAAAAGAAACCACCCAGGCACCCATGTCCTGTTCACACCAAGCTTGGAAACAGCCAGGACCACCTAAGCTGCTTTAGTCATGCGGGGAGCAGAGGAAGAGTTCTGGGGACTTTATCTCCTCCATCCTTCTGTCCGTCCCCCGCTTTTATCCCTTCCTTTCCCCATTCTTCCCTCTCCACTTCCTTCTGATCAGGGTGAAATTCTAGCTGTTAGACAAAAGCCAGCATTCCTCAGGAACTCAGGAAGCCGGTTCCCTCTACCAAGGGAGCCATTTCTCTTACCCCTGGCAGAAGAGACAAATGGCTTCTGGGGTGTCTATTAGCGAACCAAAGTGCATGCGGACCCCAGGCTCCCTCAGCGCCACAGGTACCTGCTACACATTTCAGAGTTCCTGCCGGCATACTCCAGACTCCCCTGGTTCAGGAGCCCCCTCCCCCCCAAGGCTACTCATCCTCCTTATAACCCCGCTACCCCAGTCAGGTTCCTCTTTTCATCTTCCTTTCTTTGTCCCCTCTTGATGCGCTCTCCTGTTCCTCACTGTTGGTCCTCTCTGTCCTCCTTCTCACCCCTCCCCCTCATGACAAGTCCAGTCTGCTGGCCACGGTCATCTACTGCTTCCTCCCTCTGCTCTGGACTCTCCCAGAGACCCCGGACTGTTCTCTTCCTCATATCTATGATTAAAAACCTTCCGCTTAGCCATATCTTGGGTCAATCGTGTTGTCAATTTATACACTTCCTATTTCTTTTCTCCATTGTAGGGTGCGGGGCTCATTGTTGTTTATTTGTTCGTTTGAGACGGGAGCTCACCATGTAGCCCTGGCTGGCCTGGAGCTCACCATGTAGCCCTGGCTGGCCTGGAGCTCACCATGTAGCTCTGTCTGACCTGGATCTCACTGTGAAGCCCTGGTTGGCACGGAACTCAGAGACACCTGGACCTCTAAAATAAAAGGCACACACCACCACCTTTGATCCTGTTGCTGGATTTTTAGACAGGTTCTCACTACTACAGCCCAGGTTAGTTTTGAATTCTTGATCTTATATTAACCTCTTACATATGAGATTATAGGGGTACGCCACCTGGCCTGTTCTATTCTGTACACAGGTTAGCAAGCTGTGTTCTTATTTGTGCATGTTGGGCTTTGTATTTTTAGATTTGTATATATATGTGCTTGCCTGCGTGTGTATCTGCACACCACATGCCTGTGTGATGCCCATGAAGGTCAGATCCCCTGGAGCCTGGGTTACAGATGGTTGTGAGCCACTACATGTGGGTGCTGGGAATCAAACCTGGGTCCTCCGGAAGAGCAGCCAGTGCCTCTACCTCCAGCATGCTGGGCTTGAGGGTGTGCACACTGTGATGTCTTAATGCCTTTGAACAAGGGGTCCTTGGTGCTCATTTGTATTGTGCCCCAGACACACCCTGTGGCTGGCCCTGCTCCTCAGACCCCAACTCTGTCTCTAGGGCTGTAGAGTAGGACTTGGTCTTGGGGGGACTTGGACTCTGATGGGGCGGTACAGTCCCACTGCAGCCTCTCGTGGGCACTGACGAGCAGGCGTGTCTGCGGCAGCATCGCTGAGCTGCAGGAAGACCCCAGCCCTGCCCCTCCATTGGCTTCTTTAGGATGTGATACGATACACACCAGAAAGTTTATCATCGTAACCATTTTCTGGTTTTTGTGTTTTGGTTTTTCAAGCCAGAGTTTCTCTGTGGAGTCCTGGCTGGCCTGGAGCTTGCTCTGTAGACTTGGCTGCACTTGTAAAGGTGTGTACCATTAAACATGGCCAAAGCTAGTGTGTGTGTCTAAAGCACGTTTATGCATGTAAGTGTTTTGCTTACATATGTGTGTGTTTATACACGTGTGTGTGTATATGCACGTGTGTGTGTGTGTATGCATGGTGCCAATGAGGTCAGAAGAGGGCATTAGATCCCTTGAATTGGAATTATGGGTGACTTGTAAGTCACCACATGGGTGCTAGGAACGAAACCCAAGTTCTCTGCAAGAGCAGCCAAATCTCCAGTCCCCAGAGCTTTTTTTTTTCCCCCTTGGTTTTGTTTTAATTTTTAAGGTAAGATAAAAATGACAGGAAAGAGCCAGGTATGGCCAGGCAAGCCTTTCTCTCCCAAAAAACCTCAAACGGTAACAAATCCCTACTGAGGAACTTTTGAATTCAGTGATGGCTGCCAGGGTGGGGGGGTCACTTTCTGGGGGTTGTGCTGGTGGACTGATGGCCCTTGTACACAAAGGCAGCACCGCTTACAGTGGGAGGGGCATGCGTTGGTGGGGTCGGGAGGGGAGTGGAAGGGTGGGAGGGGGGAGTCAGGCAGGAATGTAGTCAAGATACAGTGTATGTATGTACATATGTATGTCAAAGAATTAAATACAAATATTAGAAACAAAAACAAACAGAAAAATCCGTGGTGACCCCATTCTCTGTAGAAGGGTCTGGACATATGGCTTCCACCGTCAGAGCCGTGTCCAGGGACGCACGGCACACATACCCTCCATGGTCTGTTCTTCTAGCTCCTTCCATCTCCACGGATCCTCAGCCATGGCCAAGGGGGGCTGTGGAGGTGATACCACCCCCACAGTCCAGTGTTTCCCCGCCAGGGTTTGCTTTCAGTTTCACGTACTGGTAAGACATGTGGCTGGGGACTCAGGTATAATAAGGAAGTTGTCAACTGAAACTGCGCTTGTTTCTCCTCATCGCTCCAGTAGCTGAACCAAGCTTCCTATCTCTGGCACAGCCCAGAGGAGCTGGAAGCAGTCTGGGAGGGCAGCGACAGGTGGGGCAGTTGGGCCAGCCCTGCCCTCTGGTTGGCTACCTGTGAGCTCAGCTCTGGGAAGCAATGACATATATAACCCAGAAGCTCTGAGCCCCTCTGAACATTTCCAGCCACCTGTAGCAGCTGCTTCTTCTCCCTGGAGACATCAGACCCAAGCCTCAAAGGACTTCTACTTAACAGGGGACAATGCCCCGCTCCAGGAATCCCAGCCCGGGGAAGTCCTGGGACAACGGCGACTTCCGTGGTTTGAGGTGGGTTGAATCCTCTCCTTGTGAACCTGGGCAATGGGTGGATATTTCAGGGTCCTGAAGGAAGCTAGACGTAAGAGTAATAGACCCTAATTCCAGACCTGGCTCTGCTTCTTGTTTGCTCTTCCTTTCTTTCTTCCTTCCTTCCTTTTTTTTTTTTTTTTTTTAATTTTTGTTTTTTCAAGACAGAATTTCTCTATGTAACAGTTTTGGCTGTCCTGGAACTCACTCTGTAGACCAGGCTGGTCTTGAACTCACAGAGATCCACCTGCCTCTGCCTCCCATGTGCTGGGGTTAAAGGTGTATGCCATTACCGCTGGGCTCTTTTTTCTTATTTTTAAAAAGATGGAAAAGGGGCCAGCAGGATGGCTCAGCAGGTACAGGCGCTTGCTGCCTGACAGACAGCCTGAGTCCAGTCCCTGGAACCACAGAAAGGAGAAAGGAAGGATAACCCCTCTGACCGCCACATATGTGTCCCATGTGCCGTGCCACCCCCCCACATACCCGCACCCCTCCACCCCACACATACACCACACAAACAATGCCCACCTCACATCACACCCCTGCACCACAGACATACACAAACACACACAGACATACACACACATACATGTACACACATGAGCACATACATATACATGGAAGAGAGAATTGAGGCCAGTCTAGCTGACCTACCTCAGTGCTCTGTGACTGCTGAAGGGTCTCCTGGGACCCAGGTCAGTGGGACCCAGATCAGCGGGACTCAGGCCAGTCTAGCTGACCCACCGCAGTGCTCTGTGACTGCTGAATGGTTTCCTGGGATCTTCGTGTGTTCAGGAAAGCACTGATCTCTCTGGAACTGCAGAGGTTGAAGCCCTGGCAGGAGCCCCTGCCCACTCGCCTCTGCCCCTGGCCCCCACAATGTACTAGGACCAGCTGGGAGCATCAGAGAAGGATGCTCCGATGTGAGGGACTCAGGGATCTCCAATAGATCTGGGGTAATTGGGGAACAGGCCCAATCAGTAAGGGGTTTGGGACTTCCTTTCAGTTATGTAAAGAAAGACTGCCACAGCTCTGGTTGAGTTCCCTCAGACTCTGCCCTGTGCAGGAAGGGTCCTCAGCAGTTTCAGGAAAACCTGCCAGGATGGGTCTGGAGGATTCCCACGCTACAGGGAGTGGACTTGGCACTTTGCAGGGCCCATGTGTTGTAGGAACCCAAGAAAGACCCCACAGAAAAGATGGAGACCTTGAACTGTCACGTTTGACAAGTGGGGCCAGGCGCGGCGCAGGACAGGCCCGGTGTTTCAGGAGAACGAGACCACCATGTGTCCCGTTCCGGGCATGGCAGCGGAGGCTCAGGGGTCTCTGAGGGATGTGGAAGGCAGGAGCTGTGAGAGGAGCCGCGCTGTTGCCGGAGTCCGAGTGATGGATGCGCAGTTAGGAAGGTTCAGAGCCCGACTGAGAGCTGCGGGTCACAGGGACCCATGAGGGACAGCGTGAGCGCAGCCTAGCCACTGGCCGTGGGGTTGTGAGGCCCACTCTGGGTTCACAGTCTTGTGTCTGGGGTACATGTGTCCACTGCACACACATGTGTGTTTAGAAAATGTTGCGTGGTGTAGGAGTGAGAAGACAGGGTTTGGAATGGGACGGTGGCTGGGGGTGGGGAGGGGAGGGGGTGGGGAATATTCAGGCCTAGCTCTCTGCTCCCAGCACGGGGACTTTGGCCGTGTGTCAGTGGCCCAGGACCTCAGTCCCCCATGTCAGATCGTCTGATTCATGGGGCACTGAGGTCACAGAGGTGAAAGGGCTCACAGTGTGTTTGTGTATAATTATGTATTTGTTCTGTAAATCCCCAGGACCTGCCTGGCCAGGGGTGGGAACAGCAGGGAAGCTGCTGGCCAGGCATCCCTATGGATCTTAGTTGTAGGCCAGCGGCAAGCTTGGCCGTGCGATTTTAGCCTCTTATACTCGAAACAGACAGTATTGGACGTTCTGAGTTAGGGCAGGCTGACAGTGTGCACGCTGTGTTCCTCAAGGCCTTCCGTGGCTTCTGTGAGGTGATGTGTGTCGAATGCCTACAGGGGCGGAGGAGGGAGCACTTTGTGGCATGAGAGAAACAGGCCAGGCAAATATAACGATGAGGTCAGAGTTCAGTTTAGAAAACATGCCAAACACAGCCTCGTGCTGGGGACACCCGTGCCAGCTTGGTGTGCCTTCTCTGGTCCTTTGCGGCTGTGAAATGAGTCACGGGAGCCTGTAAGATCTGGGATCTGTGCATCACCAGGCATTTCTGGCTAGAGTGGACTTTGTTCTGAAGGCTCCTCTCGGCCATGCCAATAAATATGTTTACACCAACGGCCGGGTTTCTATGCAATATAGCTGGGTTGTTATGGGTTCCTGGTCTTGGCCAGGGCAGGATTCCCCTACAGTCAGGCCAGACTTGGGTGCAAAACTAAGAAACAGGGAAGGAGAGAGTTAGTTGTCCGTGATGACTCTAGATAGGAACACCTAGAAAGATGAGTGGCCGTGTAACACGGGAGGTGGGTCACTGTCTTCTCAGGGAAACAGACTATCCCCAGAAGAAGGCCTCTCTGGAAGAGTGTTTCTAGAACATTCCAAAGAAGGAGCAGGCAGAGGGGCCAGGGGAGAGTAGAGACCAGTTCAGTCAGTTGAAAGCACCTGAAAAAAAGCTGCCGGGAGGTGTTCATGGCGCCAAAGGCCAGGACACCTTGGGCAGGAGGCTGGCAAGTAAGAAGAGGGCCTGGGCTTGAAGGTCAGGAGGTCTCGGGAAACTTGGGAAGAGTTGTGGGCCTGTGTGGATGCAGTGAAGTCAGGCAGCAGGAAGAGGCTGGGTTCATCTCCACTGCTGGGGAAAACTGTTTCCATAGCAACCTTTCTTTCAGCTGAGTGGGGATGCGCCCCTACCTCCTGTGGGATGGAGCCCTGGGCCAGCCACCTCAGGGAAGAAGAGGGGCCTGAGCCGAATAGGGGGTCCTATCAGTGACTGCTTCCATGGTTTGGTCGACCAGCTGTCCTGGCTGACAGAAACCCTGACCACTGTTTGGTCAGGCTCGGCTTCCTTCAATCTCATTAACATAATCAAGTCCACTGGTCTAAATTTGACTTCTCCTGAGTCCGCACACCCTCTAGCCCCAGCTTTATCAGTTTAAACACCAGAATATCCTGTTTTAGCTGTACATTAAGTCCCGCTCAAACATATGTGCTAAAAACATAAATATGACTTATAGAAACGTAAAGAGCTTGCTGCCCTGAGTATGAAACAGGCCAGGTCATGGTGTGACCATATACCTCAGGAGACTGAGGCGTGGCCGAGAGATGGAGGCTAACCTGGGCTACGTTATGAGAACTTGTCTCTAAATCAACAATGAAGAAAAGGGAGAAAGGAAGGCGGGAGGGAGGCAGCAGCACCCAGAGCCCCGCTCCCCTCACCTGCTCTCCTCACGGCTGCAGCAGCTTGGGTCCTAGCTGTTCCTGAACCTTCGGGTGTAAAAGAGACTCAGGGGCCAACCAGGCGCTTGTGCTTGGTTTTTCTCTGTGGGCTGCAGTTCTGGCCTTTGATTCTCGGATCAACCACAGTTGCGGTTGCGCACAGTGTGGGGAAGGAGGAGCGCGGGGGTCCAGTTTCTGCTGCGGCAAAGGTCTCCTGAACAGTTACCTATTTTAGAGTCGCAAACCCAAAATCTTCTGGGGATGTGCGCCTCTGGGCCGCTCCGGCCGTGCTACAAGCCAGCTGGAGAATCTGGTTCCATTTCCTTCTCTGAAAAATGGGGGTGGTGACCCCCTTCCCTGTGGGGTTGTCGTTAAACAAGATGGAAGTTTTAAATCGTCACCAGGGGAGGGTGGCCACACAGCATGGGAGGTGCGTGAGTGCAGGGGGGCACGGATCAGTCTTCGACTGACCTCTCCTGAGCAAGCTGTTTGCTTTGGTTTTAGCCCAATGGAGACCCGGAGGGGCCCGAAGAAGCCTCCCACAGATAAGAGAACCCAATCCTTGGACCGGCAGGTTCTCAAGGACTCGGAGTCCGCGAACTCCAAGTACTCCTCTGGGCCCACCCACAGGAAGGTGCTTCGGAGGACAGCCAGCGATGAGACCAGAGGTTCTGGGAGCCCCTATCACGTTGCAGAGGCCCAGGAAGCTGTGGTCGCAGCGCCCCCTCTAGGAGAAGGGAGCGAATTTCTCCCCTGTGAGCAGGGGCCCCTAGAAAGCACTAAGAAAGAGAGGCCCCCAAAGCAAGCCCAGCAGAGCTGGATTAGCATGTTCCTGAATATCCTGTTCCTGAGGTTTGATCTAGAGGAGCCCAGAGAAAAGGGCAGCAAGAAATCAAAGGGGAAAGGAGAGACCAAGCTCTCAGAGGCAACGGAGGAGCCAGCCGTCAGGAAGAAATCCCAGGAGAAGAGGACCAGCCGCAAGAAACCCACTCACAAGAAGCCTGCTCCTGAAGAGTCTACAGGGCTCCAGAACCCAGAGGCAGGAGGCCACGAGAACTTACTGCCCAGCTTAGCTTCGTCCCACGCCACCGAGGAGGCTAACCTGGGGCTGATCTGCAGGGGTGAGCAGACTATTGTGTCCCACCCTCAAGGACCAGGGTGCCCCAAGTTTGTCTACTAAATGTTCTCCACTGAGGTCAGATGTGGACAGTGGGGGACACTTCTATGAGGTTGAATGGCTGAACACTTGAGACCAACCCATCGGGGTGCCACCCTCCCATATACTGCAAGGTTAGGGCTGGTGACACCCCTCTGGGCCTTAATGTGCCCTCCGGACCTTCTACAAAAACAGATAAAATGGTCGCTGTCTCATGGGTCGACGCAGCTCATACAAAAGCAAGTGCAATGAGATTTGGGGAGGAGTGGAAGTAGGTGACCTCTTGCCCCACAGGTCTATGGGTGCCGGCCAGGTGCTCTGTCTAGACCCTGCCCCTGAAGAACAAATCTGCTATGGTGGTTTTTGCAATGGCCGTCCCTGGAGCCTTTGAGTCCTCCATGGTGAAGGAGAGAGCAGGCGTCCCGCCCCAGGCGTCCCTGCTGCTGGGGATGGGGAGTGACGTCTCCTCCACTCCTAGAGGCCTCAGCTGTGTGCTGGAGGCTTCTGTGTAGCCACAGACTCTGATGGGAAGGAGGCTCCGGGGAGAGCTGGAGGGAGGGGATCCTGGCCTGAGACACCCCCCCCTTCACTGGGAAATCCTAGCCAATGTCTGATGGGGTGAGGCTGGGGGCTGAATTGTTACTCGGTGGAATCCACACCACCTGTGGGTTAACGAGGTCGGGAGAATGTCATTAACCCAGACTCTGCTCATTTGACTTCCAGAGAGACCAGAGTCTGAGATCCCCCAGGCCTTGCCCACCGAGGGAGGCCATGATGAATCCTCAGAGAGTTCTGCCCAAGCCGCAGGTCCCCCATCAGAAGAGGACCCTCAGCAGCCTGACCGTGAGTTACAAATGTCTAGGGTCCTTCTTTCCTTATGGGTAAGAGACTGCACCAAACTAGAGGGGCCACTCAGGGTGAGTCCACACACACACACACACCCCTTTCATGTCTATCTTGCCGCTTCTGGCACTGGGTGCTTATTTTCGAGTCTGAGAGGAAGGCAGAGGTTCCAGAAAGGCAGCTGGCAAGTACTCCTGCCTCCGAGTCAACAAGAATATGCCTTTGTTTTCAATCTCTCAAATGTACTTAAAAATATAGAGGAGAGAGCTGGAGGAGATGGCTCAGAGGTTAAGAGCACTGACTTTTTCCAGAGGTCCTGAGTTCAATTCCCAGCACCCACATGGTGGCTCACAACCATCTGTAATGAGATCTGGTGCCCTCTTCTGGCATCCAAGGGTACGTGTAGACAGACACTGTGTACATAATAAATAGATAAATAAAGATATAAAAAAATATAGAGGAGAGGGGCCAGGAGTGTAGCTCAGTTGGTAGAGAGCTTGCAGGCACACACAAGGCTGGCATTACGTCCCCAGCAGCGCATAAATGGGGTGTGGGGTGTACGCCTGTAAGACTAGCACTGGGGAGGTGGAGGCAGGAGGTTACAGATTCAAACCCACCCGGCAGTGGTGACACAGGCGTTTAATCCCAACACTTGAGAGGCAGAAGCAGGCAGATCTCTATGAGTTTGAGGCCAGCCTGGTCTACAGAGCAAGTTCTAGGATAGCCAGGGCTAAGCAGAGAAACCTTGTGTAAAGCAAAACAAAACAAAAAAAAGAAGTTCAAGGTCACTTGTTACACAGTGCCTGCGGAGATCAGTTTGAGCCACAGGAGATCCTTCTCACCTATCATCTGTCTGTCCGTCTGTCTGTCTATCATCTATCTGCCATCTATCAATCATCTATCTAATCTATCTTATCTATTTGTCTATTTACTACACCTCTACCTACCTATCAAGTAGGCACTGAAGGTATAGTTAGGCAGGGACTCTACTTAGTGCGTAAGAGGCCTTGGGCTTAAATAAATAAAGCAGATATACGTAATAACGGAAAGAATGGTCCAGTGGCCACACTAGGAGCTGTCACACTGCTTTGAAGCATTTTCTCTCAGAGCCATAGGGAATAAAAAGACATTTCATCTCTACGGACTTGAACAGTGCACAATCCAGACACCTTCACCGCCCCTAACCGATCCTAACACACCCTCCTCATCTAATCCTCTAAAAAGCTGGACCGTGCAAGAGGTAGAAAGACTTTTCTGTGTCCAGTTTGTAAGACATTCGGTTTATAGTGGCCTCATAGGCTGCGTCAGGAAACCGGAAGCCAGGGGGACTGAGGGGCAGAGACTCTACAGCTAGCCCAGGCACAGAGGCTCTCTTGTGCTTGACTTTTGTGCAAGCAGACCTTTGACACACGGCTAGTGGAGCAGGCACACCCCCCCCTCCCCCCGGGAATATTCTCCGGCATGACATGCAGCGGAGGTGATTATGCGGCAGGGCCACTGTGACCCGATGTGCCAGCCAGTGTCTTCTCTGAGCCTTAGGCTGGGGATCTGACATTTCTACAGACCCCTGGGAATGGCGTAGGCTGGAAGACTTGGGGTCAGCCTGGGAAATGTTTCTGAGTCCTGTTTCTTGTTTGATGTCTGGACAACCTCTGAGAGAGACGGGGTGCAACTGTGACCCACATTTCACAGGGACAGTTCTAAAGACCCAGAGAGGGTAAAGAAACGCAGCCATTACTCACTAACCACAACACTGATATTGTTGAAGCTCAGTTAGCAGGGCAGACTGAATTCCCTACGTAAAATGTCATGCTTTGGGCTGTTCCACCAAGGCTGACGACCTGAGTTCAATTCCCGGAACCCACATAATAGAAGGGGAGAACAGACTTCCCAAAATTGTGCCCTGACCCACATGTGAACTGCTTCTCTTTTCCTTAATAAAAAAAATTAAAAATTAATTTAAAAAAATGTAAAAAGTCATACTTTGGCTTCCCTGTGACTAGGGGTGGTTAGTTGGGGGACATGGGGCTTTCCCTTTAATGAGTGGTTGTGGATGCCCGAGAGAACCATGGCCTCGTTCACACTGGGGGTCCAGATCCCAACGCTGCCGGTGTACTTAGGAGTGGTGGGACCCGTGCTCTCTTGCAGAGGAGGAGCTCATCTGGAAGATCGTGGAGCTGCTCAAGAGAGCAGGGGACCGTCTGGAGGAAGAGGTGAGGCGCTGGCATCAGAGACCACCTGCAGGGCTCCTGCAGCTTCCGGTTCGTGCCCCGCCTGCCCTTCCTTCCCTGTTAGCCCCACTCACACCCCCTGTCTGGGGTTGCCTTGACCCTCTCCCCAAGGTCAGGCTCCTGATTCGCGTACTCTCCTCCTCCACAGCCAGCGCAAGTCCCTCAGCCGGAAGTGGCTCCACAGAAGCCAACACCGCCCCCCAGGAAGAAATCCCAGGAAAAGAAGCCCACCCTGAAGAAAGCCTTGTCCCTCAAGAAGCCCGCCTCCGAGGAACCCAAGAGAGTGGCTGTAGCCACTGCCCTTGGCCCAGAAACCCGACCCAAGAGGCCCAGCTTCCTACCCCTGTGTCTTAGTGGCCAGCGACTTTCCGCCTCCAGCAACCTTGGTGAGCAGGCTCGGGCAGTTGTCATAGCAACAGTGGCCTCCTTCCAGCCCTGAAATCTTCCCAGGGCTGGGATTGGCCAGTTTCATTCTGATGTCCACACTAGGCCTTGAGCAGTGTGGAGAGGGTTGGGGATGGAGAAGGGACAGGGACGGAAGCTAGTCACTTCCATACGGCCTCACTTGGGTGCAGACAGCACACCTGAGCCCTTGATGGGACTGTATGCCAAGACCTCAGCCACCGCCATCTCTGAGCAGGGCTGGGGATGTTTTCGTGACAGAACTGGAGACAGAGGGCCTGGGCTCCCAGCTACCTTTTCTTTTCCCTCTTAATATGTGTGGATGTTTTGCCTACATGTATGTCTGGGTACCATGTGCATGTCTGGCATCTGTGGAGGCCAGAGGTGGCATCGGACACCCTGGAGCTGGGGTTACAGATGTTTGTGTCTCAGATTGCCCTCTGTGTCCTACTGTCTGTCTGTGTCTCAGTTTGTCTTAGGCAGTGAGGAAGCTGGGTGCAGGGGTGAGGAAGCCGGGTGCAGGGGTGAGGCGATGTGGTCATAGTCATGTGACTCATCAAAGCTGGCGCCAGAGTTACAGGGACAAGGACCGATCACATGACTAGGAGAGTTTCTGGCTTAGAGAGCATGTGTCTGGAGTCATAAGAGGATAGATTTTCATGCAAGACTGTTTAGGTCATGGACCTTCATTAACGTCTCGGAGCCAGGCATCTTTTGTCCCCTAGTGAACCAGGAGCTCAGTAGAGAGACCTGTGGAAAGGGGAAAGGGCAGAGAAACAGGGGGAACACAGCTCTGGGGGCTGCAGAAAGCCAAGCAGAGCCCCTGACCTGGCACAGCCCAGAAGTTAACTGAGCCCAACAGAACCCGAGGGCAAAGTACACTGGCACCTGCCTGGGCTCAGCGCCAGCCGTTGGACGTGGCCACACACTTAACTGCTCTTTCTCCTTTCCAGACTCAGAGGAGCCCGGATTCCACGAGGTCCAATCTGTAGATCCCGGATGCTCACATCCCCCTGAGTACCACACCCCAGCTGCGTGTCAAGGACCAGCAGAGAGGTCACTGAGGGACAGAGCCTATGAATCCAGTTAGTACCCTGCCCCTCAGAGACCCCCTCAGAGACCTCCTCAGAGACCCTGTTGTAACTCTGCCATCTGAAGAAGAGAAACTGAGGCAGAGAGGGGGAGGCTGAGGCCTGTTTCAACCTCCCTTGGGAAAGCGGCAGGCTGTGGGGACAGCATGGGCCCTGAGCACCCTTCCTCGGCTGGCCTCGGTTTCCTCATTTGGCAAGGGTGGGCTTTGCGAGTTGCTGGGGTTCCTGAGCCATGGTCTGTGAGGAATGGGAGGTGGTGTGGACAGGTTGCCTCAGCTACTGTGTGCTGTCGTTCCCGTTAGGGTGGCCAGCTTGAGAGTTGGGCTGAGGACAGAAAGGGGAAGAAGTATTTTTATCACTATCGTTGGCGGAGCCAGGCCTGGATGTGAAATACTGTCAGGTCCACACACTTGGAGACCTCTGGGGGCCTGGGGGGCTGGGAAGATAGCAGGCAGTGTTAGTGCCTCAGAAGCACGAGGGCCTACGTTTGCACGCTAGCGTGTACGTGCAAAGAGGAGCAACGGAAGGGCTGGGGTGTGCGGACCTGCACCGAGGATGTGAGTGCGGGTCACGGAGGCTTTTGTAAGAAACCCTGTCCTTTTCTTAGGAGAATTCAGGCGGAAGATCCTGGTCCTATTTAAAAACTCAGAGGAACAGAAGGGAGAGCAGGTGAGACTCCTTCCCCCGCTATCCTGATCTTCGGGGGACCCCCACGCCCCTTTGCTTCATTTTAAGCCCTGTACTGGCCTCCCCCAGACCTCACTCCCCAGTTCCAAATGCCATCATCCCCCACTGGGTTACACTGTCTAGGCCATAGTTTACCTTTGACCTTCTTGAAGTTAAGGACCTTGCCTCAGTTTCTCTCTTCCTCCCCATAGCAAGCTCATGTCCAGGAGGCAGAGGAAGCTGGAGAAAACTCCACTCCCAAGATGAAGTCACACAGGAAGAAGTCGAATCTCCGGCGGGCCTTTTCCCTCAAGAAACATGGCTCCAAGGATTCCAAGAGAACAGAGGCTTCGGGGACTCCCAGTGCTGCCAGCCCGGAGGCCCGGCTACCCAAGAAGCACGGCTTTCTGCCCACGTGTGTCAGTGGCCACAGAGCTTCCATCTCCGGGGACCCAGGTGAGCAGGCTTCCTGCTGTGGGAAGAGTGGGGGCGGGCAATTTTCAGCAGGACACCCACCAAAAAACTCAGAGTTCCCTCTTCTTAAAAACAAAGGCGTTGCTAGATCTGTGATTGTCTTTAGATGTCTCCAGGGGACACTGACAGAAACAGACCAGGGGACTGTTGGATGGGACGCACTAAAGAATGAGGCCCATTGCTGTGCCCTGGTAGCCTGGTATTATTCCAGTGCCTGCTGTATATACACTAACACAGTACCTTCTCATTTGACCCGGGAGGTCCGTCTTATGATTCCATTTGTCAGCGGGGAAGGTGGAGTTCAGACTGACCGGGCTGTGATTTTGCTGGGGGGGAGCAATGGCCTTGTCCCTATGCTTTTTCAACTGCAGACCGAGGAAGGCAGAGGCCAGAGAGGGAACACTGAGATCCCCTGAGGAGGAGGGCAGGGTCAGGGCCTCCCTAGGACTGGGATAGACGGCAAGTTCATCTCCATTTTCTGTGCAGAAGACCCCGAGTTCCAGAAGCTGGCGGCTGCAGGAGGGGAACCAGCCGGGTCCCCAGAAGCTCCTTTCCGGTCTAGAAGAGTCACACCAGATGAGCAGCCTCTGCCTCTACCAGAGGGAGCCTCGGAATCTAGTCAGTATATCCTGCGCCCACAGAGATAGTTTCTGCCAGCTCCTCTCACACACGATAACCCAGGCTAAGTAGGGATTGCTTCTAGGGGTAGAGAAAGCAGCTGAACCCCGCCTCCAGAGACCTTACAGTGGGGACAGGGACCATCCGTGTGCTCTTTAAACTGGGGCTCCTGGGTGAAGGCCCAGACGAGGCTTTGGGGGCATTAGTCCATTTCACTGCTGTACGCAGTTCCGCCTTGGTCCGACTTGAGCTCCCAACGGCTTGTAATGACCTCCCCGTGGGTTTCTTACATACCTCAGCTCAAACCGGCAACAAGGGCCTGATGACCCAACTGAGTGGTCCTCCTGTTGTGGCAGCTGGTAGCTGGTCACCCCGAGTGCAAGTCTCCATTCCCGACGTTAGGAGCCCTCAGTTTCCCCGAGTGTCAGGTTGGAGCCGAGTGCGGTCACAGATGGAGGGAACATGGATCTTTATCTGGTCAGCTGTACTGCTGTGGCAGGTAGTCTGTCGTGGGCACCAGGTGCCGCAGAGACAGCTTCTCATCCTTCTTCTCTTCCCTCAGAGGAGTCCATCATCCAGAAGTTGGTGGAAGGTCTCCAAGAGGTGGACGACGAGCTAGGAAGGCAGGTGAGTGCCCCTCAAATTCTCTAGGAGGATGCTGGGGCTCATGCACCCTCCTCTGATACCCGTGTCCTCCTTCTCAGTGACCTTGGTTGTGTCCCTGAACCTCGCAGAGCCTCAGCTGTCTCCCCGGCAAAACAGGGATAATTCCTGCTTGACCAGTGCCTGTGTAGAGAACGCCTAAGGCCTGCACGCACGGCAGGTGAAGAGAATGTTGATTTAAGATAACAGGACGCAGGCAGGCTAGGGCGATGGCTCAGCAGTAAGAGCCTGAGTTCAAAGCCCGAGCACACATGTAAAAAAGCCAGACATGGCCTCGTGCCCCTGTAAGCCCAGAGCTGTATGGGGGTGATGGCACACACACCAGAATGTCAGAATGTTCAGTGGCTCCCCAAGCCAAATCCCCAGCACCCCAAGACCTGGCACCGTCCAACCCTTCAGATCCTGCTGCAAGGACACTTTCCGCCATTGCAGCCACGATCCAGTTCTTACAAGCTTGTAGCTTACCTGCCCGTGACCAGCAGTCTCCCCGAGGGCCACAGGCAGGGCCTGTGTGAGAGAGTGAAGGTGCCACAGCTTTCAGCCCCAGGACACCTGCATCTCACCACCTAGTGACCCAGAGACCCTGCAACCATGTGCAGCAGGGAGAAGTTAACACTGAGCACCTCCACCATGGTTGCTGGGAGTGAGGGTCTGAAGACCCCAGCCCTCCCTAAGATGCATCCACACACCCATGGTCTGGGCCTCCTGTCCTTATACCCCGTCAGTGTGCCCCCAAATCTCAAACCACAGGGGACCCAAGTCTTTGTTTTGGGGAGGTCCCCTGTCCCCCAGGAGACCCCGGCTGCCATATCCAGATATGAAGAAAAGGAGAGAGGTGCTAAGCGGCCATTAAATGTTCTGCATGAACTGTCTTGCTTCTACCCCTAATCATTTTGGAGAGGGGATCTGGTCTCCCCCATTTTTATAGCCAAAAAGAGGCTCAGAGGGACACGTTCTGCGTGGAGCAATATGCACGTGACTTCAGTTTTTGCTGTGCCCTGCAGCCGTGGGCCATTCCTGTACAGCGAGAGTGGGCGGTGAAGGGATTTAATGAAGGGGTGCTCGCAAAGGATACTAGGGAGCAGGCTGGGGTGGCAGGGACTCTGCCAGCAGCGTTGACGACCTCCACTCTTGTTCCAGATCCGGCAGTACCCCAGCTTCAGGAACTTTTTCAATCAGTTCTCGGAAGCCTCCCTCAGGAAGCTAGTGGCCACCTTAGAGAGACAGAAGGCCCGCCTCTCAGAGGAAGATGGGAGCCTCGTCAACAGACCCCCACCGTGCGCCTTTGGCTCACTGAACAAGTTTGCTGCCAACCACAGCTGTGCCATCTGCACCCTCATGCAATCCAGAGGCCAATACCAGGGCCACAGTTATGCCCACTTCCTGTCCAGGAAGGCCCAGCAGGTGAGAGTCAGGGGAGGGGCATCACTGGGACACAAGGGACTAGTGGGGTCTTCTGACTTTTCTGATATGCTCAATCAGACTCTAAAGTCTTCTCTCAAAATAACCTTTATTTGTTGTGTGTGGGCACGTGCACACGTACCATGCATGTGAGTGCCATAGCACACATGTGGAGGTCAGGGGTCAACTTGTAGGAGTTGGCCCTCTCCTGCCATGTGGGTCCAGCCTTAGTGGCAAGTGCCTTTACCTGCCGAGCCATCTTTCTGGCTCCTCAGTCAGACTGTTTAGGCTTCAGTCAAATGCCACCTCCTTGCCGCAAACTCCTGAGAGAGTTCTAAACCTCAAGGACAGAATTAAGCGGTAGTCAAATGTCAAAGGACTGGCAGGCAGCCAATGCAGGTGAAGCCAGCAGGTGGCGGATGCAGTGTGGATTATCAGACTTGAGATTGTAGCTGAGATGGAGGGACTGGGGACAATGGGGTATGGTGGGGGAGGGCTGCAAAGGCTAGTGGACCCAGCGTGGGTGTGGATAGAGGCATAGGAAGCTTGCTGTTTGCAGAGTGGGACCTGCTGACTGGCTGTGGCTCTCCCCCTCCCAGGACAACATGAGTCTGGATTGTCAGAGTCCAGACTGAAGGCCGCATCTTATACCCAAGTTCTTCTGGACTAGCCAGAGTCAGCAGCTTTGGCTAGAGACCCAAGGACACTGCAGGATGGCCCGGTTCTGGACTTCCCCAACACACCTGGAGACGAGTGTGGACAACGACCCTCTGTGCAGTTGACACCGCCCGAGACGGCTTTTCTTCCGGGAAGTTGGCCCCAGAGGCCATGTTGGGGGTGGGCAATGGGTAGGGAAGTGGGTTCCATCCACAGAACCTAAGGTGAGGTCGCACCTCTGCAATCCACCATCATGAAGGAGGCTGACTGAGGGTGGCGGTGGCGCACGCCTTTAATCCCAGCTCTTAGGAGGCAAAGGCAGGTGGATCTCTGTGAGTTCGAGGCCAGCCTGGTCTATAAGAGCTAGTTCCAGGACAGGCTCCAAAGCCACAGAGAAACCCTGTCTCAAAAACAAACAACAAACAAAAACCAAAACTGCCATCTGCCAGATCCAGCTTTCAATGAGTCTTAGCTGGGGCATGTGTGTGTTGTCTGTGTGTGTGTGTG